CTTGAGGCTCTGTCTCAAAAAAAAAAAAAAATTTTTCCCTTTTCTCCCCTTATTTTATATTTTCCATTTAATTCTATTTTTATTCCTTGCCTCCATTTCCTGGAGGTGATGAGATAGCTGTAAAAGTGAAGTTTTAAAGTTTTATGCAGGTCAAAAGAAAGAGGTTCTTTTTTTATTTTTGGTTTTTGGGGTTTTTTTGAGATAGGGTTTTACTCTCTGGCCAGAGCTCTTAAACTGCTAGGATTACAAGCCTGAGCCACTATGGTCAGCCCAGAAGAAAAAGCTTTGTGGTTCTTATGAAACTAAAAAATTTGCCTACAGGGTGGCGCCTGTGGCTCAAAGGAGTAGAGCGCCAGACTCATATGCCGGAGGTGGCAGGTTCAAACCCAGCCCCGGCCAAAAACTGCAAAAAGTAAATGAATAAATAAAAATAAAAATAATTTACCTATAATACTGACATTATCATATACTAAAAAACATATAGCATCAGAATCAGAATAAGTTCTGATTTAATCACAGAAAGATGGTTCATAAACTTATCTGAAAATAAAACACCATGATGAAGCACTCATGGGTTGAAGAGGGAAAAGCCTGACAATATACATTAATCTCTAAGTATGACAAGCAGAACACTATGTATCCAAACCCACAGAGCATGGCCAAAGCTGTACCTTCAAGAAAATCATAATCACAAAGGCATTTATCAGAAAACAAGAAAAAAAATAAAGCAAGCAAGCCAACTCAGAAAGTAAGTAAAAGAACAAAAGAAGAAAAATGAAAAACAGGAATAATTATAATTATTATAACAAATACAGAAATAAATTAGGAAACAAAGAAAAATCCCAATTAATAATCAATACAACCAAAACTAGTTTTTTTTATTTTGAAGACTAATGGACAAATCTCTTAAGTCTGATGTTGGAAAAACACCTGTAGAAATGTGGGAATGGGGAAAGAAAGGCTTAACTGAATATACACAGATTTTAAAAAAATCTATAATAATAAATAATTCTTTTTTTTTTTTTTGAGACAGAGTCTCAAGCTGTCGCCCTGGGTAGAGTGCTACAGCATCACAGCTCATAGCAATCTCCAACTCTTGGGCTTAAGTGATTCTCTTGCTTCAGCTTCCCAAGTAGCTGGGACTACAGGTTAATGCCCAGCTTTTTTTTGTTGTTGCAGTTGTCATTGTTGTTTAGTTGGCCTGGGCCAGATTTGAACCCACCAGTCTCAGTGTATGTGGCTGGCGCCCTACCCACTGAACTACGGGCTCCACCCAATAATAAATAACTTTTAACCTACAAATTTGAAAATATAAATGAAATGGTTGGTTTCTTAAGAAACTAAGTTATCAAAATTGACTTTTAAAAAGAGTTTTGAAACAGCATAGGTACTGCTATGTATCTTTTGCAGAAAAGGAATCTCGGGCTCAGAAGTTACATAATTTGCCCCCAGGTGATACAGCCAGTAATTGGCAGAAGCACTTCATATGGATTTGAAGTTGCTTCCTCTACACCAGTACTTTTCCATGGGAAGAACTTTTTTTCTTGTGGTTTTGGCCAGGGCCAGGCTCGAACCCGCCACCCCCAATATATGGGGCTGGCGCCCTATTCCTTGAGCCACAGGTGCCGCCCACGGGGAGAACTTTTGTACCCTTATTCTCACTACTTCCCCTAGGACGTTTAGTCATGTCAGACCATTTTCAGTTATCACACATAACAGAAAAGATTAACTATTCACGATATCAAAATCTAGACCTGCTACCCCCTCTTCTTTTTTTTCATTCTGTCACCCTTGGTAGAGTGCCATGGCATCATAGCTCACAGCACCCTCAAACCCCTGGGCCTAAGCGATTTTCTTGCCTCAGCCTCCCAAATAGCTGAGACTAGAGGTGCCCATCACAACGCTCAGCTATTTTTAGAGACGAGGTCTTGTTCTGGCTCAGGCTGATCTCGAACCTGTGAATTTAGGCAATCCACCCACCTTGGGCTCTGAAGTGCTAGGATTACAGGCGTGAGCCACTGCACCCAGCCTTTGCTACGCATTTTCTTTTTTTGAGACAGAGCCTCAAGCTGTCCCCTTGGGTAGAGTGCCGTGGCATTACAGCTCACAGCAACCTCCAACTCCTGGGCTCAAGCGAGTCTCCTGCCCCCGCCTCCCAAGTAGCTGGGACCACAGGTGCCGCCACAACGCCCAGCTATTTTTTGTTTGCAGCCGTCATTGTTGTTTTGGCGGGTCCAGGCTGGATCCGAACCCGCCACCTTAGGTGTACGTGGCTGGCGCCTTAGCTAGTTGAGCTACAGGCGCTGAGCCCGCATTTTCTTAAAAAATAAAGTGAAAGCACCATAATTGATTCTTTTAGAAACATCACACTCTTTGGGTAGAAGAGACATGAATGATTGGCTTTCACTTTTTCTGTCAAAATGCCTGACACTTAAATAAACTTCAGAAGAGCTCAAAATATAAATATAGTGTGAAAAAGAATTCAAATTTGTTTACCAGTTTACTTAATAGGATTAAATAAAGAATAAGAAGTTCTATGATTGAATTCCTTTCAATTTTCTTATTAATTCATTAAATTTTTCACATGTAAGACATAAGACACACTATATGGGTATAGTCTTCTGACCTTTAACTTTGAAACCAACTGTAGGCCGCCTGGGTTTAAACTATCACAAGCAGGAACATCTGCAATTTCAGTCTGTGGAAACAAAAGTCGTACCATTAATCTATACTTCATGCATGTCTGTCTGCATTACTCACTCATCAAATGTTTACTTCATTTTTTTTTTTTTTTTTAACTTCATGTTTTTATTTCCTCTGATAAAGAGCAGCAAAGCTCCAAATGCAACCGCTTCACTGACGACAAAGAGAATAGGAGTTCCAATATTTAAAAAAAATGTTTTAATTACCCTTAATTTTCCCAGAATGAGTTTAATATTTACAATGAAGTCGTATCAAAGAAACATATTAAAACATACTTAAGTACCGAGGGGGCCAATGTGTAAAGAAATCATGCTGTCCACATTCACTACTAAGACATTTCATTCCTTCAGAGAAAATTTCACAAAGGAAACAACTGTACCTGTTCTATGGAATGTTTACGTAACTCCTGGGATGTATTTCCACTGAGCTGATTTTCTTTGGAAGTGAATGAGCCAACAGAGAGAGGTGTTGCTTGGGGGCCAGAGTCACGGTCACAGGCAGCTTGCCCTTGCCTACCTGATGCATTCAGGCTGGTATTCAGTTTTGGTGGGCTAGCTGAACTACTGAATTGTTTACTATTACTAGCAAGACTTACTGTGTCTTTCAAGTGAGAAAGTTGGGGTGTAGAGCAAGTTTGTCCAACACCCACTGTAGATACTTTTTCATAACATGCTCGGGAGCCGAACGCTGGAGTGGTACCTAAGATGGGGAAAGCAGGTGAACACACGTCTGCAGTAAGTCTGTCATTCTCATCAGGTGTAACAGTGTTCAAGGGAGTAAAAAGTAACATAGATGAAGAAAGGTCCTTCTTTGTAGGCTTATTTTTTAGGTCTGACAGTTTAGAATCTGATTTTCTTGGCAAAATAATAAGTTCCTCTTCTAAGTCCTCCTTTTCTGTATCTACTTGTTTAGGAACCTGTTCCTCTGCAATACAATTTTCCTCAAGATGCCTCTTTTTATAAATATTTGATTCCAATGGTGTAATTGGGTTTTTTGAGCAAGACTTCAATTTTTCAAGCTTAAGAGGCCCAAAGTCTTCATCAGGTAACTGAAAGTCTATGATACCGAGGAAAGATGATAATGGCTTTAAACTCAGAATTTTTTTTTTATGAAAAGGGGTATTGACAGCATCATCATCCAAAGCTAAATAAGCATTATCGCTGGCAGACAAGTTCTGTTTTTGATGATAACCTTCTTTCCCTAAAATAGAAAATAAGCAACAACAAATAGTAAAAAGAGAAAAACAGTAACAAAAGAGACATTAGAGACATTAATACCCCATAAAGAATGAGCTTACTTTTCCCATGCAGTTCTTTGAAACCCGAGTAAAGGGTCCTAAAGGGTCATTTCCACGGTTAACTACCAGCTATCATTTAGTACTACCCAAAATAGTGCACTGCTGACAGCGTTAACTGGGAGAAGGAAGACTAGGGTCAAGTCCCAGCTTAACCACTGATTTGCTGTACAACCCTGGGCAAGTTAATTCAGTTCATTTTCCCTCCTCTCACAGTCCCTCTTCAGGGAAATTTTTAGTCTTTAGGACTAAAAATCTCTAAATTTCTATCTACCTCTAGAATTATGATTCTACCAAAGTAGTCTACAAAATGCTGGCTGTTCTCATTAAAGAAAACTTAGTCCCCTTTTCAACCCAAGAGTAATTTACTGCTCTTAATGTGAACGAAATCCTGTATCATTCAAAATGTAGTTATATCCAACTGATGACTAGATAAACAAACCATGCTACATACACATGACGGAATATTATTCAGCCATAAAAAGGAATGAAATACTGATAAAAACTACAACATGGACATTATCTTGAAAAAATAAGATATAATAATAATAATAATCTTATCATTATTACTAATATCATTATTTCATTATGCTAAGTGAAAGCAGCCACACACAAAAGGACATGTACTGTAAATCTCATTTATATGAAATATCCCAGAATAGGTAACTTGTAAATCCACAGGGAAAAATGTAGATTGGTGGTTGCCTGTAGCTAGGTGGACTGGGGAGAGGAAATGGGAAAGCAATTACTTAACAGGTACGGGGTTTGAGGGCAATAAAAATGTTTTAAAGAGATAGAAGTGGGCTCGGCGCCTATAGCTCAACCGGCTAAGGCGCCAGCCACGTACACCTAAGGTGGCGGGTTCGAATCCCCAGCCCGGACCCACCAAACAACAATGACGGCTGCAACCAAAAAATAGCCGGGCGTTGTGGCGGGCGCCCGTGGGCCCCGCCACTTGGGGGGGGGAGGGATGAGACTCGCTTGAGCCCAGGAGTTGGAGGTTGCTGTGAGCTGTAATGCCATGGCACTCTACCTAGGGGGAAAGCTTGAGGCTCTGTCTCAAAAAAAAAAAAAGAGATAGAAGTGGTAGTTGTACACTGTAAATGTACTAAATGCCACTGAATTGTTCACTTAACTAAATACAGTAATTTTGTTACGGGAATGTCACCTCAAGAAAAACTAAAGGTAGCAGACTATTTCAAAGCACAGTATGAATAGAAAGTTTCTAAATTACTAAATTGCCTACGTGTGTTTTTTTGTTTGTTTGTTTGTTTTTAAGAGACAGAGTCTCACTTTATTGTCCTTGGTAGAGTGCTGTGGTGTCACGGCTAACAGCAACCTCCAACTCCTGGGTCTAGGTGATTCTCTTGCCTCAGCATCCCAAGTAGCTGGGACTACAGCCACCCAGCACAACGCCCAGCTATTTTTTGTTGCAGTTTGGCTGAGGCCGGGTTTGAACCCACCACCCTCAGTATATGGGATGGTTGCCCTACCCACTGAGCCACAGGCGCCACCCTGTGATTCTTTTGTAATCCTGTTGACTTAAAAGAGGATGAAATAATGATTATTATTTTGAAATTAATTAATCATAGAACAAAGTATTTGTTTAGTTGCAGTGGTTCTCAACCTTCCTAATGCCGTGGCCCTTTAATACAGTTCCTGTGGGTTGCGAACCACAGGTTGAGAACCACTGCTTTAGTGGTACACTGCTGCCTATTTTTGTACATGAAGTTCTTCTAAAACATGTCACATGTACACAATGTCTTTGGCTGCTTTCGCACCAGTTCCTCCTCCTCCTTTTTTTTTTGAGACAGTATCTTATTCTGTTACATAGGCTAGAGCGCAGAAGCACAATCATAGCTCACTGCAGGCTTGAGTTCCCAGGCTCAAGTGATCCTACTGCCTCAGCCTGATCCTCCCACCTCCACCTCCTAAGTAGCTGACATTATAGGTGTGCACCACTGTGCCTGGCTGATTCACTTTTTTATTTATTTTTTTTTGTAGGAAAGAAGTTTGTCCGAAACTACTAGCCTCAAGTAAGCCTCGCACCTTGGCCTCCCAAAGTGCTGGCAATACAGACGTGAGCCACTGTGCCTGGAAACACCAAATTTGAATAGTTGAGACAAAGAGCACACACACTCGATCCTTAGTTTAGAACCACGGTGGATTACCCAATTTTTTTTTAGTTTTTGGCCCGGGCTGGGTTTGAACCCGCCACCTCCAGCACCTCCCTACCCTTTTGAGCCACAAGTGCCACCCAAATTACCCAATTCTTGTGCTCAGTTTATCAGATATGATTAACTCCTGAGCAAATGAATTCAAAGTTTAAATTATGACACAGCCTTGCTTGCCAGCCTTCAAAATCTTGTGTCCTATGAACCACAGAGAGACAAAATATTAGCTATTTTATTCAAAAAACTTGCTCAGGACTTTTTATTACATGATCACTCTAAGAAAGTCAATTAGTGTACTCTTACTCTAACACACATTCAGAAACATGTCCTATATTGCTACCTGTGGATAAAAATTGTGCTGTACCTGAATAAATATTAGTATCAGGTAAACACCCAATATATTTTCCTTTTCAGTATCCATTTTTTTTTTTTGAGACGGAGCCTCAAGCCATCCCCCTGGGTAGAGTGCCGTGGCATCACAGCTCACAGCAACCTCCAACTCCTGGG